AGGCTCACAATTCGGATGAGCTGAGTTTCAAAGAGGGGGACAAACTCATCGTCCTTCGGAAGGGGGACGAGTGGGAACGAGAGTGGTGGTGGTCTCGACTCAACGACCAGGAGGGCTACGCCCCACGCAATTTGCTAGGGGTATGTGTTTGAAGTTTCATCTGTGTATTGTATGTTTGATGTTACTTCATTTATTCGATCTACATTTAAATGTTATATTTGTCTTTGTATAGCAGGAATTTATCACGGTGACATTTTGTTTGCAGCTCTACCCAAGAGTACCAGCCGTCAAGAAAGCAGAGTGATTGTCCTGAGAATGGAACCTGAGTCTGCAACTTTTCCTCACGATGCTGTCCTAGCATGTATCCGACTGTTACAATGTTTATATATTTTTCTTTCTTAATATAATATGGAAATGAGACGTGATTATAAATCTCAGGTGGAATAGTACTTTATTACTCAGAAAGGTCAAACAAAGGTTGGAGACTATAAGGAGAAATCTTGAAATGAGATCATTTATCTTATTAACGTACTTAAGGTAATCTCGTTTCCTGTATTATATATTTATATATATATACAGATAATACTGTGCCTTGTTTTTAATGTGTACCTAATGACGATATGTTTACGATATGTAATATTCATACAAAAAAGACAAGGTACAGATACTTAACAGAAATATTTTAATTACTTAAATATGCTAGCTGCGCTAGTCAACTGTCACGATATCGAACTTAGTATTGTAAATATTTGCGCTTAGAGGAATCTCTATTGAATTTGCCTCTGTTAATGTCCAAGTGTCTTGATTATTACCAAAAATTGTTAGATAATGGTTTGGGGAGGGCTGAAGTCAGCAAGGACCTACTTCAATGCAGCCAACTTACTAGAGCTAAAGCCTTAATGATGGATGAGCCGCTCGTTACTGTCATATTTAAAATGTATGATCTACAAGCCTGATTTTGAGTCGGGTGCACTTTTAAATCTGTATCCTGTATATTTTTAATCCCCAAGTCTGTTTAATTGTTATTTGCTGTGGTAATGGATCTCAATGGTATTTTATGTTTAATTGAGGAATTTTGCCTGTCTAATGGCACTGATGTGACTGTAGATCATGGATGATGCCAAGCCTGACGAGGCTTTACCATGGCGAAGTTTATATCTGATTATGAATTTGAACTTGGTGATTGGTATCAGCAGAAATGATATTGAAACTTCTGGTATGATACAAATTCTTAGTTTGTATTTTAACTCTTTGAAGACAAAGCTCATCTAAATAATATTTAAAAATTCAGTACATAGGATAAGGAAAATGCACTTCAACATTACAAATATCAGTTGGTTAATGTTGCTTAAGGAAATTATCACTGTTTGTTATGAGAATAATATCTTCTTCTTCTATGGCTCTCCGGTCCGTATTCGGTCGATGGCCTCCTCAATTCTCCTCTTCCATTCGGTCCTCTGTTAGGTCCGTCTGTCGGAGGCTTTGATCGAGGTCTCGAAACATCTTCCTTTTTACGGTGCAAGGTTGTTAGCCTTGCGACCAACCCCCAACCTGGAGGACCAGGGTACCTGTCTTAGTCTGACCTCTCCGCCTCGACCAATCTGGCTAGGGAGGCCCTACCAGTAGCTCTTGGGGTCACTGAGGTACTCGGCCCCACTACCACGACAAGGCGCAGGTACCATTAAGTGGGGGTGAGAATAATATGAAGCTCATAAATACACTAAGTGAGCAGTGAGTTAATGAATGTTGAGGCAGGTGGTACATATAGTTACCACTGGGTTGTGAATTGTTAGTAAGATATTTCAAGAGTCCGGACTAATGTGATGTAATGCTTTCATTATAGTTTCTTATATGATGTTCTTTGAATGTAATGATGTGACGTTCCAGAGCTGACGGAATCGGTGTATGATTGAGGAATATGTTACTACGCACTTTGTTTTATTTGTGGTGGTAATTCTGTAACTTCCTGGTATAGGAAAGCATCGTCTTGTATTCAGTTCATGAAGAAATTTCCAATTATGTGGTCCCACTTGACCCTGTCCTGATACGATTAAATCCAAGTTACATCCACACAATATTTTCCCACATCATTTTATTATTTAGTTGTTACATCCCAAGTTTCAGATCTGTGATTTGTTCATTGATGCTGTTTCAGGTGCATTTGTTATTTCTATAGTGTTTGAGTATTGCAGTGTGTAGTGCCACGTACTTTTTTATTTCTGTTTTCTCACATCAAGCTAAAATGTAGTTCCATGTGGTGATAGTGAAAGCATTTCTTGGTTTCAGCATTCAGTTTTCAGTTTTTGTTCAGTAATGCTAATATATTCAAATTATTATTATCTTTGCCCTGCTTCTTACCAGCATCCTCTTTTCTGATAACTTTCAGCAACTGGCCTGGCTTTTTCTAAAATATCATTAAAATTTTTACCGCTCGCGTAGTAATAGAAAGCTTATTTCGCTGTTAGAAGGTATTTCTGATTTTGTCAGTGTACAGATCAAGTATTGTGAAGTAAATATTAACAAATTGTTTGGAAAACATTTAATTATTTTAAGATTGTGAATATTGAACTAGAAAAGATATTGGAGAAGACAATTATTTATTTTAAAAGATTTTATCCCAACATTTGCTAGTAAGGACTGAAGAAAAGCGTGTGAAACGGCTTTCAGGACAGTGTGTCAAGCTGAGATCCAAACCTGATACATATATATAATACAAAGGAGGATATGTAATTACTGAAGTTCTAGGTTTATTTTTTTTTATGTGTGGGTCACATGTAAAACAAAGCTAATATTTTGGGGCAGGCTGCATGAATATGGTCACTTGCTACTATGTCTGTTAAATATCAATAAATTATTATCAAGTATTGATAACAATAAAGTGCCTTACTTTTTAGAGGTCTTGTGTTTGGGTGCCCATGTTCATTCCAGCCTAACACTACAATCAGTCCAGTTCCCTTATCGAACCCTGGTTTTCATATTGACTGTAATGCAGCATATAATTAAAGTAAAGATGTGGACTGAGGCCATAGTAAGAGTTTCCAGGTTGGGAGAAAGTGTTATGTTGAACTGCAAAATTACTAATAGAAAGAAGCGTGGACCATAGGGATGCGCTGTACAGTCTGAGGTAAAGGTAATATATCCAAATAAACATGCTCTTTATGGCAGACACGGTTTGGTCGCAAGTTATTTGTCTAATAATATTACATTTATAAAAGTACTGTTTGCATCTGTAGCAGAAAATTTTGCATATAAAACTAGTTGTGTATCGAGAATTTTAATGGCGCGCAATGAAAAAATTGAGATAGAAACTCAGAACATCAGTAGTGGACAATGCTATGAAGAAATACGGTGATGTTGCCATTGGCTTCAGTCCAGTATCATGCGGAATATTTCTGCCTTTACGCTGTGTAGTCTTTGAGAATATCATTGAAATTTCTGCTGTCAGAACCTCAAAAAAGTCTGTTCTGCCCATTCTCACTGTCTATAGCTTAATTTTAAGGAAATTACTTGGTATGGATGTACATAGCATCATAACAGGAGAAAGGTATCAAACATTGATGTGATTTTTATCAACTCACTTTATATTTATTGTTTTTATAAAAGTTTGCATTATTTGCATGTATTTCTTTGCAATCTGTTTTTGTACAGGTCTCACATAGTGCTCAGAAGAATATTTGGTTCCAAGAGGGATGATATGACAGGAACATACTAATTTATACTCTAATTAATATTATTATGATGTTCAATTCAAGGAGTGTGAGATTGGAAGGGCATGTAGCACAGTTGATAATGAGAAATGTAAGGAATATTTCGGTTGGAAAGCTTAAAGGGAAGAGACCACTTGAAAAACCTAGGTGCAGATGGAAAAATAGTATTAAGATTGAATCTATGGGAAATATGTTAGGAGGGTGAAGCAGATTCATCTAGATATTGCGTTCCAGTTTTTCATACCTATGATAATAGAAGTTGAATTCTAGAAATCGCCCACTGTGACTTCATTACTGCCAACATGTGTTTGTTGGTAGCGTGACAGAGTAGTAGTTGAAATATTCAAATATGAGTTTATTGCCGTTTTTCATTACATGACAAATAAGTTAATCTGATTCTTGGTGATCCCTATATTAATAGTTGCGTGTTGTTAAACATGGAGACTTAGCTAATACTCTACGTCGACGTTGTGTTTATTTGGCTGCTTGGATGGCAGCATAATTCTCACGTTGCGACTTTGTCCACCAATAACACTAAAGTTTCATACCTATATGATTGTTGTTTGTGATTGTGTTTGTTAGTGGTTTTCGTATCCCTATAATTTATATTGATACTTTTCTGGATGGCACAAGACTTCATTTCAATGAATGAGAGAATTAATCGAAGAAGTGGGCACATAGCTGTAGTATATGGAGACTGGATGATTGTTTGGGGCGGTTATGTGGTAAATATAGTTACTGGTATTTTCCCTCGTCTTCTTTGTAATGTAAGACCCTTTTAGCATTACTTAACCTCACTTCTATAATTTGTTTCCCCACAAATTATGCCATTGATAATTTTTGTACATAGTTCCACGTTAAAACACATTTCCATCAAACCGATGATAAATGGGCTATGTGATCATGATGCCCAGCTATTAGTTATAAAAAACATAAACCATGTTTCTAACTTTCACAATTATGAGAAGTTAACCAGAGTGGTAAATGATGCCACTATAAATGAATTTATGAAATGTCTGGTTAGTGAAGATTGGGAATTATTATTAAGTGGTGGTATTGTGTATTCAGAGTTCAATTCTTTTATGAACATCATTTCAAGAATATTTGAATAAAGTGTCCCTATTAAAATGCAGAAAAAGTTGTTTTAAAGCACTGTGCATGCAATCGTAAGCCAGTACCTTATTTAATCAGCAGAGTCAGTAACAATCAACTTCTGAAAGAACACGATTGAAAATAATTGTGGTAGTGGCGGGTGTTAAAAGTAGTCTCTTGTAGAAAATTTTGTTGGAAATTTACCATACTTTCACTTGCAAGTGAATTTATACTCTCCTCAGTATCATTTGTGGTGGAAAACTTTGAAAAATTTCAAATAGATACTGATGTACACAATTTGAACACAATGTAAATATGACCTTCACATGACAAATACTAACTAACCTCACTAACTATCAAGAAGGAGTATGCTATACAGGTATCAAGTTATTCAGTAACCTTCCACCTACAATTAAATGTTAAAATCATGATGTAAAAGTATTCCAAGCCTGCATTAAAACATAATACCTTAACTTCATCCTACTTTATAGATAATTTTACCTGTGTTGAAAATTCTTAAGCTTTATGTATATCTATATGTGAAATAAGTTTTCTGTGTTTATATTATGACATGTTCTACATCCTCTGGTTTAACCCAAGGAAGGATGTGTGGAACATGAATAAACTCCTTCACATTTCATTCTTATAGTATAATTGAAGAAATGTAAGTGAGCTAATGCCTTTGGCCAGCAAAGTATTATATTCTTTTGGCGGGCTTCAGAGTAAAGTCGGCAGATGTGAAAATATTTTCATTGCTTATGAAAGCTTGTGGATTGTTACTGGATTATAAATTTTATTCCCATTAGCGTGACCCACATGACGTGACACGAGTTACATTGGATTTGCGCTCATTTTCTTGTGTTCTTGTCATCAGGACCATGAACAGCAAACTTCCACATCACAGATTCACACCCACTACCATCACACAGATGAGTTATGGATATATAATTGTTTGACAGAAGTTTGGTAAGTATGCGGCAATAACGTGTGGATTTTTTATCCGATTTTTGTTTCTGTTGAGCATTATCAGCTATGCATGACTTCATATGCTTGATCCAACAGGTTTATGCATTGCAGTAGCATATTTCTAAACCCTTAAGCCTTGTAGTTAAATTCTGGCCACTAGGCCTTTAGTTTGGTGGTTGAAATAACCTTTACCCCTACAGCAACGGTCTGCTATTTCTGCTGATCCTAAAGCAAGTGTTGTAGAACAAAGAGACGCTATGTGAGGACATCAACTGGTGATGACTTTGTGCATGGCCCAAGAAATTTGGGTTGAATTATACAATTTTAGTGAATTTGTTTACTCATTCATATTCATGTTGTGTTTTGTAGCTCTTGTTTGCTTGAATTTGTCAACTTTTTTTACGTTGTTTTTGCACAGGGAAAGGATTCTAACAAAAGGAGACATTCCACACAGAAATTCAGGATCATGTGGTCTGTTGCATGAAGACTTTCTCTATATATTTGGAGGTTAGTATTCTGCAGGAGAGAGGAAAAAGTGCTGTAAAACCGAAAAACGTGAGTTTGAAGAATGGCTTAAAGCATCGATGTTGATCTTCTGGGTTGTAACACCGTTTTAAAGGAACATCCTGCCAGGATCTTTACCCCTGAAGAGTGACAGTAACGCCTTTACCCCTATGAGAACCTCAAATTGCATAAGACAATAAAAAAGAATAAACATGAATTTACTTCTCATGTTCTTTGTGGAAATTGTATAGAATTATCATGTAACTGCAAGATAAGGAAACATGGATTGAACTTTCTAGGATTTCACGGGATGGATAATGCGGGATCGGTGAATGGCAACAGTAACTACCTTTTTAGACTAGACCTCACGACCATGACATGGGAGTGGCTGCACCCGACCGGTAACCAGCCGGCTCCTTGCGACAAACTTGCTGGATGGGTGTATGACGATAAGTAAGTCTTTTATAGGTTTTCTGGACACATTCAGGCAACTGCAAGTTAGGATAGTGCCTAAAAATGGGTGACACATAACTGCCTTCTTTCACACCCTCTGCGGTTCGTAATTATCCTCATAGTCTCTCACTCAGCGCTATGTAACGTATATTATTTATAATACTTTTTGCTGTGTCATCCTGTAGTCAACTGAATTGTTGTATTTTGCAGGTTGTACTTTTTTGGTGGTTTCGGCCCACAACCAGAATTTGGTGTCCCATTTCAGCATGTAATTGATCCTAGTACGGAGCCATCGGGTTGGCCCCGAGGCTGGAACAATCAGCTAGTAGTGTACAACCCTGTCAATAACAGCTGGGAATGGCCGAAAGTGCAAGGACCCACCCCTTCGCCTCGTGCAGCCCACGCAGCTGACATCTCGGGGCACAAGGTTGGGCAACCTTGCTTTTGAATTCAGCGTTCTGACTGAAAAACCAATACCGTTATAAACTGGATTGAACTGGCACATGGTATCTGTTTTGGAGCATGTGCACTTTATTTTAAAATGCGCTGCTTTTTGTGTTCGGAATGTAAATCGACTCGCTAGTGCTATTGTGTGAGACTCGGATAATAATGCGTTTGTTTCAGGTTTATGTGTTTGGTGGTCGCATTGGCAACACACGGAACAACGATCTGCACTGTCTCGACATGGACAGTATGATGTGGAGTGGCAAGTACGACTGATAATTCTCATAATTAAGTCTTAAAAAATACTTTTGTGTTGTCCGTGCGCAGAATATATGAGATTAATCAAATATGGCCACATGTTCCATCTTTGAAACATCCAGCTGATTTTATTTAAATTTTGTATCGAGGGTCTGCTTCAAAATTAATTTTATTTTGGTACAAAATTATCATAATTTGCTTGAGGACTCTAAATCATACTTTATTGATTTTCTCAAAAATGTTTCGTTGTGCAAGAATTAGGTCTGTATGCTTCCGTTTGTTTGTTGAACAGTTTGACGCATCCGTTCGAGCTGAATCCCGAAGGCAGGTCGTGGCACAGTCTTACATTTATAACAGACACGCGAGCCATTGTGTATGGAGGTCTCAATCAGTACAATATTGTTCTTAGTAAGTACAAATGCATGTTTGGATTGTTCAGTAGAAAGGAAGAATATAAATGAATATGAAACACACGTGCAACTGAAACCCAGATATAAACCACGTTTGCCCCGAGATAATGTGCACTTTTTAAAAAAAATTATTACTCCAGTCCCTGAGAAATTGGTCGCACGTGTTCAATTCTGTTGGGCGTCCTGCTTGAAGCTCCATCGGACGTATAGCTGTTTATTGAAATTAATTTAATAAAATTACTGTTCTGTTAAGAATGACGATGACCCATGTTTGAATCACCATTAAGCCTCAAATCTAATTCTGTTTTGGTCCTATATGCCTTCTATTTTACTCAAAGCTCAAATCAGACTTAATTGTTCTTTTCATAAATTGTAATACCCATTACCTAATACCAGTTGTCAGTACATCCGATAAATTATAGATCTCTTGACTTGAAGCGTTTGTTTTGGCAGGTTTCTTTCATTTGCTGTCAATTTTTAACAAAATGAAAATAAAACTAACTGTGGAGTCTTTGTAGTGTGATTTTCTTTGCAAAATTCTATCTGCAGTAAGTAAACATCAGGACCAGTGAGATATGCAAATCTTCTTCTATGGCTCTCCGGTCCGTATTCTCCTCTTCCATTCGGTCCTCTGTTAGGTCCGTCTGTCCGAGGCTTTGATCGAGGCTTCGAAACATCTTCCTTTTTACGGTGCAAGGTTGTTAGCCTTGTGACCAACCCCCAACCTGGAGGACCAGGGTACCTGTCTTAGTCTGACCTCTCCCCCTCGACCAACCCTACCAGTAGCTCTTGGGGTCACTGAGGTACTCAAGCCCCACCACCACGACAAGGTGCGGGTACCATTAAGTGGGGAAATATGCAAATAGGAAGTAATATTTCCAATCTTGTTTGTCTGTTTGTAGGGGTTGAAGCAAGTCAGCGTCTTTGACCCTGTATGTCCGCATCCAACCTAAGCTTAAAAATAAATAGTAAGCTGTGACTGAACATCATAGACAGTTCTGCCAGTGTTTTCTTACAGTCTTTTGAAACAGTTCTGAAAACCGCCACGTGCAGTCTCCCGCAGTACCGTGTTTGCTGGAGCACGCAGTCTGTGCTATAGGTTGATTTTCTCCCTGTTCTTTGCAATTGCCTCGTTCCTGTCATTGTGTCCTCAGACATAAATTTATGGTTGTGTGATTTCACCAATTTTTCAGAATGCTGTTTGTGCGTGCGTGCGCACACACTGCCTCTGTTCTGGATGTGGTGGCAGAGAAAGAATTGTCTATGCACTGCAGAGTAATATTTGGACAGCATATGCGATAAAAAAATAAAATTTGATGATTGTGCCAGGGTCAGACATTTGAGCGCCAATGTCCTAGCTGTGTCTTAATGTAAATGTTAAGAAATTTTAATATCTTGTTGCATTCACTATTGTAAACAGAGATTTTGATGATTTGAATGTTCGCAAGGTGATTGCTGGCTCCTGGATGTAGCGTCCAAGACTCGCTGGTATAGATTCCCGTATCAACGCTCGAAGCCTCGGCTGTGGCACAAAGCACAGTATGTTCCTACGTGTGGGGAGCTCCTAATTGTCGGTGGACACAGAGCGAACATCCTTGACCACACTGAATGCATAGTGAGTCTGATTGCTACCATCTTGCGTGTGGGACTGCGTTCGTATTTTTGATGACGTGTCGATTTTTGTCGGAGAACATACCAGTATGTTTTTTCCCATTAGGACACATCATTAATACCCCATGTAATTGATCTGGCGTCATATGGTCTTTTAACGACAGAATAAGCGCGGGATATTAAATGTGGACTCCGGCTCCTTTTCTGTTCCCATTTACACCCAAACTCTTCGGCTATGACGGTACGTCACCAGACCGTGGCTCGACCTCACTGCCTAGGTGAGATCTGAGGTTCTCATGGTGGTGAAGATATGGATTGTGGTCATCTGCATCATCATGGCTCTAATAATAATAATAATATTAACATGAGGTTTCATGAAAACTCATTGATTGATTCACAGGTTAATAAGGGGGTGAGGCACATGGGCAGGTGGACTCCGAGTTTATGATACAGTAGGCGTGCCTTTCCTAATGAAATTAGTAAAATAGGACAAAAATAAATGGCAAAACTTTTGATAGAAAGTTTTTGACCGTTGCCAAATGTCTGTCTAGACGAGGTTCTTCGATTAAAGAAAAGTCCCAAGTAATACAACGTCAGTCGCTGTGATGTGATTCTCCAGATGACTGCTGGTTGCTCACTTTGCACAGTGAGGGCATGGACCACGAATGGCAGGAATTTGAGTTGTCGTACGACCACGGTGAGCCACGCTGCAGCCACACTGCATGTTTGTTCCCAGCAACGGGCGAACTTCTCATTCACTCGGGTTCCACCCAACCGTTTTATGAGACGAGGCTGAAACTCAAAGTAAATACACTTTGTATGTGTTAATTTCTCGGACAGGGTGACGAGATTTTGAAATTACTCGCTACTGGCAGATTACCGTTCATGATTAATATGACCTTCACATGACAAATACTAACTAACCTCACTAACTATCAAGAAGGAGTATGCTATACAGGTATCAAGTTATTCAGTAACCTTCCACCTACAATTAAATGTTAAAATCATGATGTAAAAGTATTCCAAGCCTGCATTAAAACATAATACCTTAACTTCATCCTACTTTATAGATAATTTTACCTGTGTTGAAAATTCTTAAGCTTTATGTATATCTATATGTGAAATAAGTTTTCTGTGTTTATATTATGACATGTTTTACATCCTCTGGTTTAACCCAAGGAAGGATGTGTGGAACATGAATAAACTCCTTCACATTTCATTCTTATAGTATAATTGAAGAAATGTAAGTGAGCTAATGCCTTTGGCCAGCAAAGTATTATATTCTTTTGGCGGGCTTCAGAGTAAAGTCGGCAGACGTGAAAATATTTTCATTGCCTATGAAAGCTTGTGGATTGTTACCGGATTATAAATTTTATCCCCATTAGCGTGACCCACATGACGTGACACGAGTTACATTGGATTTGCGCTCATTTTCTTGTGTTCTTGTCATCAGGACCATGAACAGCAAACTTCCACATCACAGATTCACACCCACTACCATCACACAGATGAGTTATGGATATATAATTGTTTGACAGAAGTTTGGTAAGTATGCGGCAATAACGTGTGGATTTTTTATCCGATTTTTGTTTCTGTTGAGCATTATCAGCTATGCATGACTTCATATGCTTGATCCAACAGGTTTATGCATTGCAGTAGCATATTTCTAAACCCTTAAGCCTTGTAGTTAAATTCTGGCCACTAGGCCTTTAGTTTGGTGGTTGAAATAACCTTTACCCCTACAGCAACGGTCTGCTATTTCTGCTGATCCTAAAGCAAGTGTTGTAGAACAAAGAGACGCTATGTGAGGACATCAACTGGTGATGACTTTGTGCATGGCCCAAGAAATTTGGGTTGAATTATACAATTTTAGTGAATTTGTTTACTCATTCATATTCATGTTGTGTTTTGTAGCTCTTGTTTGCTTGAATTTGTCAACTTTTTTTACGTTGTTTTTGCACAGGGAAAGGATTCTAACAAAAGGAGACATTCCACACAGAAATTCAGGATCATGTGGTCTGTTGCATGAAGACTTTCTCTATATATTTGGAGGTTAGTATTCTGCAGGAGAGAGGAAAAAGTGCTGTAAAACCGAAAAACGTGAGTTTGAAGAATGGCTTAAAGCATCGATGTTGATCTTCTGGGTTGTAACACCGTTTTAAAGGAACATCCTGCCAGGATCTTTACCCCTGAAGAGTGACAGTAACGCCTTTACCCCTATGAGAACCTCAAATTGCATAAGACAATAAAAAAGAATAAACATGAATTTACTTCTCATGTTCTTTGTGGAAATTGTATAGAATTATCATGTAACTGCAAGATAAGGAAACATGGATTGAACTTTCTAGGATTTCACGGGATGGATAATGCGGGATCGGTGAATGGCAACAGTAACTACCTTTTTAGACTAGACCTCACGACCATGACATGGGAGTGGCTGCACCCGACCGGTAACCAGCCGGCTCCTTGCGACAAACTTGCTGGATGGGTGTATGACGATAAGTAAGTCTTTTATAGGTTTTCTGGACACATTCAGGCAACTGCAAGTTAGGATAGTGCCTAAAAATGGGTGACACATAACTGCCTTCTTTCACACCCTCTGCGGTTCGTAATTATCCTCATAGTCTCTCACTCAGCGCTATGTAACGTATATTATTTATAATACTTTTTGCTGTGTCATCCTGTAGTCAACTGAATTGTTGTATTTTGCAGGTTGTACTTTTTTGGTGGTTTCGGCCCACAACCAGAATTTGGTGTCCCATTTCAGCATGTAATTGATCCTAGTACGGAGCCATCGGGTTGGCCCCGAGGCTGGAACAATCAGCTAGTAGTGTACAACCCTGTCAATAACAGCTGGGAATGGCCGAAAGTGCAAGGACCCACCCCTTCGCCTCGTGCAGCCCACGCAGCTGACATCTCGGGGCACAAGGTTGGGCAACCTTGCTTTTGAATTCAGCGTTCTGACTGAAAAACCAATACCGTTATAAACTGGATTGAACTGGCACATGGTATCTGTTTTGGAGCATGTGCACTTTATTTTAAAATGCGCTGCTTTTTGTGTTCGGAATGTAAATCGACTCGCTAGTGCTATTGTGTGAGACTCGGATAATAATGCGTTTGTTTCAGGTTTATGTGTTTGGTGGTCGCATTGGCAACACACGGAACAACGATCTGCACTGTCTCGACATGGACAGTATGATGTGGAGTGGCAAGTACGACTGATAATTCTCATAATTAAGTCTTAAAAAATACTTTTGTGTTGTCCGTGCGCAGAATATATGAGATTGATCAAATATGGCCACATGTTCCATCTTTGAAACATCCAGCTGATTTTATTTAAATTTTGTATCGAGGGTCTGCTTCAAAATTAATTTTATTTTGGTACAAAATTATCATAATTTGCTTGAGGACTCTAAATCATACTTTATTGATTTTCTCAAAAATGTTTCGTTGTGCAAGAATTAGGTCTGTATGCTTCCGTTTGTTTGTTGAACAGTTTGACGCATCCGTTCGAGCTGAATCCCGAAGGCAGGTCGTGGCACAGTCTTACATTTATAACAGACACGCGAGCCATTGTGTATGGAGGTCTCAATCAGTACAATATTGTTCTTAGTAAGTACAAATGCATGTTTGGATTGTTCAGTAGAAAGGAAGAATATAAATGAATATGAAACACACGTGCAACTGAAACCCAGATATAAACCACGTTTGCCCCGAGATAATGTGCACTTTTTAAAAAAAAAATTATTACTCCAGTCCCTGAGAAATTGGTCGCACGTGTTCAATTCTGTTGGGCGTCCTGCTTGAAGCTCCATCGGACGTATAGCTGTTTATTGAAATTAATTTAATAAAATTACTGTTCTGTTAAGAATGACGATGACCCATGTTTGAATCACCATTAAGCCTCAAATCTAATTCTGTTTTGGTCCTATATGCCTTCTATTTTACTCAAAGCTCAAATCAGACTTAATTGTTCTTTTCATAAATTGTAATACCCATTACCTAATACCAGTTGTCAGTACATCCGATAAATTATAGATCTCTTGACTTGAAGCGTTTGTTTTGGCAGGTTTCTTTCATTTGTGTGAGACTCGGATAATAATGCGTTTGTTTCAGGTTTATGTGTTTGGTGGTCGCATTGGCAACACACGGAACAACGATCTGCACTGTCTCGACATGGACAGTATGATGTGGAGTGGCAAGTACGACTGATAATTCTCATAATTAAGTCTTAAAAAATACTTTTGTGTTGTCCGTGCGCAGAATATATGAGATTAATCAAATATGGCCACATGTTCCATCTTTGAAACATCCAGCTGATTTTATTTAAATTTTGTATCGAGGGTCTGCTTCAAAATTAATTTTATTTTGGTACAAAATTATCATAATTTGCTTGAGGACTCTAAATCATACTTTATTGATTTTCTCAAAAATGTTTCGTTGTGCAAGAATTAGGTCTGTATGCTTCCGTTTGTTTGTTGAACAGTTTGACGCATCCGTTCGAGCTGAATCCCGAAGGCAGGTCGTGGCACAGTCTTACATTTATAACAGACACGCGAGCCATTGTGTATGGAGGTCTCAATCAGTACAATATTGTTCTTAGTAAGTACAAATGCATGTTTGGATTGTTCAGTAGAAAGGAAGAATATAAATGAATATGAAACACACGTGCAACTGAAACCCAGATATAAACCACGTTTGCCCCGAGATAATGTGCACTTTTTAAAAAAAATTATTACTCCAGTCCCTGAGAAATTGGTCGCACGTGTTCAATTCTGTTGGGCGTCCTGCTTGAAGCTCCATCGGACGTATAGCTGTTTATTGAAATTAATTTAATAAAATTACTGTTCTGTTAAGAATGACGATGACCCATGTTTGAATCACCATTAAGCCTCAAATCTAATTCTGTTTTGGTCCTATATGCCTTCTATTTTACTCAAAGCTCAAATCAGACTTAATTGTTCTTTTCATAAATTGTAATACCCATTACCTAATACCAGTTGTCAGTACATCCGATAAATTATAGATCTCTTGACTTGAAGCGTTTGTTTTGGCAGGTTTCTTTCATTTGCTGTCAATTTTTAACAAAATGAAAATAAAACTAACTGTGGAGTCTTTGTAGTGTGATTTTCTTTGCAAAATTCTATCTGCAGTAAGTAAACATCAGGACCAGTGAGATATGCAAATCTTCTTCTATGGCTCTCCGGTCCGTATTCTCCTCTTCCATTCGGTCCTCTGTTAGGTCCGTCTGTCCGAGGCTTTGATCGAGGCTTCGAAACATCTTCCTTTTTACGGTGCAAGGTTGTTAGCCTTGTGACCAACCCCCAACCTGGAGGACCAGGGTACCTGTCTTAGTCTGACCTCTCCCCCTCGACCAACCCTACCAGTAGCTCTTGGGGTCACTGAGGTACTCAAGCCCCACCACCACGACAAGGTGCGGGTACCATTAAGTGGGGAAATATGCAAATAGGAAGTAATATTTCCAATCTTGTTTGTCTGTTTGTAGGGGTTGAAGCAAGTCAGCGTCTTTGACCCTGTATGTCCGCATCCAACCTAAGCTTAAAAATAAATAGTAAGCTGTGACTGAACATCATAGACAGTTCTGCCAGTGTTTTCTTACAGTCTTTTGAAACAGTTCTGAAAACCGCCACGTGCAGTCTCCCGCAGTACCGTGTTTGCTGGAGCACGCAGTCTGTGCTATAGGTTGATTTTCTCCCTGTTCTTTGCAATTGCCTCGTTCCTGTCATTGTGTCCTCAGACATAAATTTATGGTTGTGTGATTTCACCAATTTTTCAGAATGCTGTTTGTGCGTGCGTGCGCACACACTGCCTCTGTTCTGGATGTGGTGGCAGAGAAAGAATTGTCTATGCACTGCAGAGTAATATTTGGACAGCATATGCGATAAAAAAATAAAATTTGATGATTGTGCCAGGGTCAGACATTTGAGCGCCAATGTCCTAGCTGTGTCTTAATGTAAATGTTAAGAAATTTTAATATCTTGTTGCATTCACTATTGTAAACAGAGATTTTGATGATTTGAATGTTCGCAAGGTGATTGCTGGCTCCTGGATGTAGCGTCCAAGACTCGCTGGTATAGATTCCCGTATCAACGCTCGAAGCCTCGGCTGTGGCACAAAGCACAGTATGTTCCTACGTGTGGGGAGCTCCTAATTGTCGGTGGACACAGAGCGAACATCCTTGACCACACTGAATGCATAGTGAGTCTGATTGCTACCATCTTGCGTGTGGGACTGCGTTCGTATTTTTGATGACGTGTCGATTTTTGTCGGAGAACATACCAGTATGTTTTTTCCCATTAGGACACATCATTAATACCCCATGTAATTGATCTGGCGTCATATGGTCTTTTAACGACAGAATAAGCGCGGGATATTAAATGTGGACTCCGGCTCCTTTTCTGTTCCCGTTTACACCCAAACTCTTCGGCTATGACGGTACGTCACCAGACCGTGGCTCGACCTCACTGCCTAGGTGAGATCTGAGGTTCTCATGGTGGTGAAGATATGGATTGTGGTCATCTGCATCATCATGGCTCTAATAATAATAATAATATTAACATGAGGTTTCATGAAAACTCATTGATTGATTCACAGGTTAATAAGGGGGTGAGGCACATGGGCAGGTGGACTCCGAGTTTATGATACAGTAGGCGTGCCTTTCCTAATGAAATTAGTAAAATAGGACAAAAATAAATGGCAAAACTTTTGATAGAAAGTTTTTGACCGTTGCCAAATGTCTGTCTAGACGAGGTTCTTCGATTAAAGAAAAGTCCCAAGTAATACAACGTCAGTCGCTGTGATGTGATTCTCCAGATGACTGCTGGTTGCTCACTTTGCACAGTGAGGGCATGGACCACGAATGGCAGGAATTTGAGTTGTCGTACGACCACGGTGAGCCACGCTGCAGCCACACTGCATGTTTGTTCCCAGCAACGGGCGAACTTCTCATTCACTCGGGTTCCACCCAACCGTTTTATGAGACGAGGCTGAAACTCAAAGTAAATACACTTTGTATGTGTTAATTTCTCGGACAGGGTGACGAGATTTTGAAATTACTCGCTACTGGCAGATTACCGTTCATGATTATTTTCTGTTTTTAAAAGGTATTGACATAACCTTAATCGTGTAACTGCAGGGGATTTGAACTGCTAAAGTAAGTGGTGATGGCCAGACTTTAATTGTGAGTTTAATTGCTTAGGAGCGTGCTAATGTGATACGAGGTGAGTCATGGCCTTCTGAATTGCACATGAGCTGGTAAGCAGGAACTTGTGGTAAATAAATGTTAATGAGGGTTTAATATTTGTAAGGCTGTATCACTTGGACCTTTGGCACACACAATCTAAAATTCAAGTTCTTTTTTTTTTTTAAAGGTGACATGGTTTTATTAAGTCCGTTCGGTGGTCTCCCGTTGCATGTTGACGTTATCAGAGACGTTAATTTCAGTATGTCTGGTCACCCTTGTTTGAGTGTTGGTGTCAGCTGTTTGTATTGTAAGCATGCATGTGTATTTGCCGCCTTTATGGTGTTTGTCGAAGCTTTTTGCTTATATGTCTACTGGACTAACTGCACACAATACAAGAAGCCGCAGTGGTTATATTAGTCGCGAGTGTCTTGAGACTAAACGACTTCATCGCGCATAGTAATCATGGGTAGAGCTCTCGGTGCCTGCTGTTATTACTGCATCCATTTCAGCGTGAAGCCAAGCAAAACATACAAGACCTTTGTGTTTCTAAAACTGCGTCAACGTAACCTTCCACATTTGTACGGCCATATCCTCCAATATACAATTATATTCTGCACATTGATATTTTTAAACACTGTTTACAATGATCTGAGTCCCTCATGGATTAATCGCTGTCTCGCCGAGGTTCTATCGTGCTTAGCTTTGCAATATTAGATTTGTATTTGCAGTAAATAACATTGACGTCAGTGAGATATGCCAAATCACAAATTGTTCATTAGAAAAGCATGCATACTCTATTTGAGGGAGTCTTTCCGTCGTCAGTGTCTCGAGGATCGCAGCTGTGTTTTGCTAGGATTATATATTTTATTTACTTTGCCGTCATTCCGTATTGTCGTCTAAAGTCGTCGATATTGGTCGTGAGGTTTGTACCAATTTTCAGGTCCGCGTGGCGTCACGAACCACAATACCAACAGTGACATTTTCACTGTTGTGAGAACCTCAAGTCTCATCTGAGATTCTTTGGAAATTTCCCTTCTCAGAAGTCGGACTAATTTATGCTGGTTTTGATATGCGTCGAATGTTCTTGTTACTAATATGATAGTCGCATAAAATGTCTAATTTCAATACCGCCACCTGATTATTCTGTGAATATCAGCATTATCGTTACTGAAAACATACGTGTGTTTTGTACTACTGGTGATGTTGATGTGTTATCGTAGGGAAATATTTTTCTGTGTTTGGGTTCGTATGAGAAATATTCCCGCGTCCCCCTCCTAGCATGCTTAATTGAAAAGTATATCTAAGTTTTCAGTAACAGCAATAACGTTAGTTTTCGGCTGAATGAGTTTTATGTCAAAATTCTCCCTGTCCATTGCAGTAAATGGAAACTGTGCTGTCCGCTTTGAGATTTTTATGTGATTATGTGGAAAATACATCTTGATTTACATAACGCTGAAACTAGTGGCGGGGAAAAAGTAATATAGCCATGAAACAGTTAATGCGTCGAAGAGCGTTCTTGAATAAAATCGACATGTATTTAGTTATTTTATGTTGCAGGATCATGCGGAGGAACTCCTAGTCATCCACTTCACTCCAAAATCGCTACTGAGGTGAGTTCGATTTTTTTAAATGAATCTGAGATAAATGTTTACTAGACGTAGTGATTTGTTGGTCGTGAGTCCTGTTACGTAATCAGGGGGTTGCTGGTTTGATTTTTGCATCCTTCCCAATTCTCTGTCATCCTCTCATGTGTTGCTGCATATCCTGTAATGTTTGAGAAGTGCGTAATTTATTAAATTAATAAATAAATTAATGTGAACGGATGAAGAGATGGAATGTACTGGAGTTTCAAAGATATTTTTATCTGTGTTTTTTTGGTTATTAACAATTTGCCCTGCATTTTGTGCTCACTGATTTTTTTGTGTCTATTATCCTTTGTGTGCGCGTCATTTGTATTCTTCAAATCGAGAAGCTACGCGCTCATTGGGGGTGTTCAGGTGCCATTGCGCTGCTCGGGACTCGGGAGGATATGATGCGAATTGAACAGAATTTATACTGGACAAGCTGTTGGAATTGTCGGCATATGACAGAAATGACCCGAAACAGGTCGGGTGAACATTCGAACATTTTAGCGAACAAAATTAAAAACTGAACAGTTCCATGGAACTGTTGGGGGATTATATGATTTTTCTAATCTAAGTAAAACTGTATTTCGTCACGTAGTCTCCTTTCGCAGGCTGTGTCTCGATGTTGTCGTGACATACGAAAAGAAGCTTAGATCAGAATGGTGGTCGGTTCCCGCGAACCTGCAGAAGGTGCTCCGTGACCGGCTGCAACAGTTCTGACTACCTGACTGTATGTAGTCCATTCATCTTTGTAACGGACTTGCCCCACAGGTAAGCTCAAGTCGCAACACGCCATATTTAATGGTAACAAGCGAATTATTCCTCCGCCAGAACTTACAAAAGTGTTATCTCTTCTTAATTCTTTCTTTGCTTATTTTGAGTTCTGCATAGCGTTAAGTGACGGATTGTGAGGAAACACTCGTCGCTCATTTGAAGGCGCTGCCGTGTCATTTGAAGAACGTAGATTGAAGGTGAACATGGCCATGGTCTGGGATGCTGCACCGTGTATTCTGGTGGAAGTGAACGTGCGTTTCAGAGGCGTTTAGTGCCTCGGTCATCGGAGCGTTGAAAAATGGACGAGTGAACAGTCTTCTGTTTTCGTGCTTTGTTTACACAAAGCTGCACATAAAAATTAAGTTATGTTGTATAACTAAAAGTCAATACATAACTTTACTTACTTTACCATTAAGTAAAGCTACGTAATGACTTTTAGGGCCTCCCTAGCCAGGCTTTACTTACTTTACCTTTAAGTAAAGCTACTTAATGACTTTTAGGGCCTCCCTAGCCAGATTGGTCGGGGGGGAGAGGTCAGACTAAGAGAGGTACCCTGGTCCTCCAGGTTTGGGGTTGGTCGCAAGGCTAACAACCTTGCACTGTAAAAAGGAAGATGTTTCGAGACCTTGATCAAAGCCTCGGACAGACGGACCTAACAGAGGACCGAATGGAAGAGGAGAATTGAGGAGGCCATGGACCGAATACGGACCGGAGAGCCATAGAAGAAGAAGAACTTAATTTACCACGGCAGTGGTTATAATATCACATGAATCCTGAAATCCATAAACAGGAAATTATGAACAGCCAACCAACATTGTTTATTATATGCATGTAATATAATTGGGTGTGGTAAGAGGATGATGAGAAATGATATTGAAAATATAAGAGAATAAAATGATGATGGTGAAAAGAATTAGATGTTACATTGGAAATCATATGGCTTTTTACTGTTTCAGGATGGTGGACCGAAGTTTATATTGAGATCGTGAAGCCTCTCAAAATTTCCTATTTGTTTGTTAATTTTGTTTTATTATTAATATCGAGTGTAAAATTGAATTTATTGGTGTATCAACTGAGATGGCTTATGTATTTTCCTTATCCAAAAAAATCTGGTGATGATATTTGACATTAATTGTGCTCACTTTGTCTTGTATATCTTCTTACAGCATGCGGATGGGCACTAAACACTCCGTTATATAAATGCTGCTGTCATTTGAACGTGTGGTGCCAATGAAAGATCGCATAAATGTGTCGACGTTACCCTACTCTTAAAACTTTGTTTTATATTCTAAAGTTAATTTTTTGTGCGTACATGATACTGTAATATTTTATTTCTGAAATTATTTCCTATTGACGTTTGTTTTTCAAAGCACTGTGTATAGTTAAGATGTGGCGCATTGTGATGTAAATAAAGTTACAAATATATAATTACTAGATTGTGCAGTTTATGTTTGTGATAACAAGAATCATTAAGCAGCCTTGAATTTAAATTTGCACATGTCCCTGCTTATTTAGTTACTTATCTAAAATTTATTCATGTGACGCCAACTTGTGGACCTCCAGGGGTCCACGAATCTCTAATTGATGAACAGCAGTTATCAAAGTTATAATGAATCGATAACATCGAACATGAATATATTTAAAACTTATATTTTAAGTGTATCTCAAGGTCATGAATAGTGGCACAGGATTGTCAGCCCCCAAGCCCTTCATTTCTAAATGTATTCCCCAGTTTTTTTTAAGGGCTGGTTTTTGCGTTCGTCTGTGTGTATTTATGATGTTATTTAATGAAGTTCTTTAGACATTTCGAAAAAATACGGTATTCCGAGCGGTGCAAGGATCTACCGGAAGTACACTGCATCACGGTAATTCACGTCGTTTTGAAACGAACTTGCATTAGGTCACTGAGTTGAAGCCAATGTAGTACAAGATGCATTTACCTTCCAGCTCTTTTGTACGGATTTCCTCTACACGCAAAGGTAAGGAAGGTCAGTCAGCGAGAAGAGAGAAAACAAGGAGGAAGAAGAATTGCCTGCTGTTATTCGTTTGTCTCGGTCGGGAGGATGACGGTTGTTCTGCGAGTAGCAGTTTGCAGCGCCAGCGTCATCGGACGGAATTAATTGCTGTCACTAGTATCATGGTGTGTAAAAATATGCAAGCGAGAAGAAACATGTATTAACACGAATGAATGACTTGATTTGGTGCTTAAATAATACGTAATGCTTATTGGTGTCTAAACATGGTTCCTAATCAGAACGAATGTTGGTTATTGTTGCGTTCTTGATAACTGTAAGCCTTAACACTTCTAATAGAATGTACTGCGAAGTGTTTAGTGGGTGTTTAGGCAAATTTTTTACTGCCCGAATGCACGTTAATTTAGTAACTGCGTGCTATAAAACTGGCTTGTTTATGTGTTACTGGCAGGAAGGTTAAGCAGTGTGTATGACGTAATAATTGTAACCTCCAGAATTAAGTGAATTGTGTATAGCATTCGCGTAGTTTCAGGAAAGTGAACGATGGTTTTCTGACGTGTGTAACACTGCTATTCGAAATCGTATACGTGATGAGATGTAGCAGATAAAACGAGTGTATTTTCTTTTCAGACGAAACTTCCGTAATTAAGTGAATGGAGATACATTCCTACATAATAACTTCCCAGTTACGTTCATTGTGCTGCATTGTGTTAGTCACATTTGCGGAGGAGTCTGTTACGGTGTTGTACCAGAGCCGGATGCTTACAGCTTCAGTGGCGTCTGTCGCCATGAGATGTGTGCAGGTATGAAGACGCAGGTTTTTTGTATTTCTGTGTGATTGTCTTGTAGTAATAGATTCTAGAGTCTATTCGCCATGTCTAGTAATTCTTAGTTTGCCCTCGCAATAATAGAAACACAAAAGTAAGGTGCTGTGAAGATCTATGGGGGAGTGAACGTGTTGTGCGACGCATTTTTAATATTAGGCGTGAGTGGTCAGCTTTGCCCCTGGAGAAAGCGTCATGTTAAAAATTACGTAGCCCGGAAATTTTAATACTAGGGTTTATGAGTATGCTTTACTTCTAGTGCAAATTCGTCGGTCTTTCAATCAGTTTTCGCAACAACAAAAGACTGTCGAGTCCCGCAGAGCGTTATCCGGAAGTCTAATGCTGAAGGTGATATTTAAAATGAGTTTGAAGTTGTTTACTTGGCTCTCGCGGGTTGAAGTCCTCACTACCTGGAGTAGCACACCCTAAATCCGCCCACCTGTCCGGGTTACGGGGAAGAAGACCCTCACTGTTGTTATCGCCACTGTTAGAACAAGAGTGGCACAAGGCACGACGCTGTTTCAGCTGCAAATATTACGTTGTGTCATTAAGATGGGAAAGTGATCTTGAATTGTTATCGGAGAGGATGATGATACTGTATTCACCTGGAGTTACTGAGAAGAACCACGAGAAACTCTAATGGTATAGACGTTCCTGATGAAGCTTACAGTACACACAACTGTGACTTCGTCGGTTGCTTTGTATGGGTGTGAAACTTGGTCTTTGATTGGGAAGAACACAGATTGAGGGTGTTCGATAAGTGTACTGGGGAGAATATTCGGATAAAGAGGAACTTCATAATTTGTGCTCTTGTAGATGAAATACGATGAAAGAGTGACACGTTACAAGTTAATTTCATGCAAGTTACGTCATTCGCTTGTATTTTTTTTTCCACTCTGTTAACTTTTGTACAGACTCGCGACTCAGCTGTACAGTTGAACGGTCCAAGTGTTCAGCTTCTAAATAAGTTGAACACACAACAAGTAGTTTCGTGCCCAGCGGACTGGCGTGGGAAAGACAAATACTGTGAATGTGGGGCTAAGTCCAGTGGACTGTCTGGGTTTTACTTCTTCACCTCCCTTCTCTGCTGATCTATTAGATCTGATGATTATTTAATTAACCCTTTAAAGCCTGATGGTAACGCCTTCTTTAACACGCAGTTACCTTGTATTCATTTGTTTCGTATGATTCTCAGAATAAACATCGATTAATTTCCTTAAACAGCGTTAACCAGTGGATATTTGCAATGGTGAAGTGTGGTGTTTTCTTCGCGGTACGGACTGAATTCTTAAGTTTCATTTGAAAGAGCTTCGGCTCCAAAGGTTAATTAGCGTTTTAGTCGTATTATTTCCTTAAACAAGGTTAACCAGTTGATCTTTGTAATGGTGAAGTGCCGTGTTTTCTTCGCGGTACGGACTGAATTCTTAAGTTTCATTTGAAAGAGCTTCGGCTCCAAAGGTTAATTAGCGTTTTAGTCGTATTATTTCCTTAAACAAGGTTAACCACTTGGTCTTTGCAATGGTGGAGTGTGGTGTTTTCTTCGCGGTACGGACTGATTTATTAAATAATAATTAGACGAGCTTCGGTTTTAAAGGGTTAAGAAGCAGATTAATTCTTGGCATAATACGGATTAATATCGACCGACGGAACTGCGTATCTGTGGTAACGAGAGAGATCCTATCGTGTAGAGCTTGTGGCTCGTGGTGACAGGCGCACAGATGGCTAGGGGCAGAGGCGATAAGCTTATTCGCCGGTCATTACGACTGTCACTTTTTCACGGACCAGCAGTTAGAAGGCGTCGTGAGAGCAGCCCGTTGTCCCCAAGGTCGCCTAGAGCAGTGGTATTCAACCTTTTTTGTTCGCGTACACCCAGATATAATTTCTCTTCAACTTTGTACCCCCAAAGTTGTTGGTGTATAATTCAAGTTATACGTAGTATATAATCTACATATAAAATAAATTAAATAAATTACATTACCGATTATTCACGTACCCCCTAAGATGTCTTCGCGTACCCCAGGTTGAATGCCACTGACCAAGAGTGCCTCATTATTCTGTGCTGAAACTTCGGCATTTCTCCTAAGTTTTGAAACTTTTTCGACTGACGTGTTTTTCTGTGATATATATTTTGACTGCAACTTCTGTTTCGTTTCCCCAGTGGTGCCTGGGATGTTGGAACACATTCTTTAAGCGGAAACCGGCTCACCTTGGCAGACACTTTGTGTTTGCTCTCAAACACAAAGTGGTCTTCCAACCAAACCGTGGCGTGTAGTCGTCTTCAGTTTTGAATGTTTTGAACATCCATATGGCGCGATTAAAGTCCATTCGCTGTTATTCTGGCCACGAAGTTTGGGCAGTAAATTGCCCGTTTCAGCCTTAAGATTTTAAGTCACTGAGCTGATGGTTAATGAAGAGATTTCCCGTCTTTTATTAAAGCAAAAGGTTCATTGCCGTGTTCGCAAGGTCCTCTCTTGATCTACACTCTCTCACCCTGTGCCATTAACATCCATTGTAAATCTATTTCCAGTTCTTTCAAATGGCCTTTTCTCTGCAGGATTCCAAAGCGATTTATTAATTATGCATTCCTCATCGCGTGCAAAATGACCTTACCGTATCATTCTCCTTGATTTGATTATCGTAATATTTAATAAGGAGAACAAATTAGGTAGCTTGTAGTGCTGAATATTCTCATCAATTTGTTCTCAGGCACTCCAAATCCGTATTCTTGCCCAAAGTGCACTCTTTATGGTCTGATCGTAGAGATTTCAAGGTTCTCGCTACTATGGTCTAGGGCAGGGGTGGCCAACCCAAATGATCTTTCGGGCCACTTTGGAAATGCATCATAACTCCGCGGGCCACATATAAAATTATATATCCCCATATTAGATTTAGATACACTATAGACATTTTTTTGGAGTGAAAAATTGAAACATAATGAGTTATTATTATTGTGTTTACTATTATTCTTACATGTAAACATAGATAATATAATAATAATGAATAAAACAGGCAATATCTGTCATATATTCGCAAGAATATTATTTTAAAATCAAAGTTAATTTTTTCTCATAATTTCGACAGATAATTTTTGAATATATGGATGCACAAATAATGTATTTTTTTAATACATTGGTTTTCACTACTTTGGCCATTATAAAATAAATATATTTTGTAAAAGTGTGATGAATCTCGCGGGCCGGAAAAATGTTCAAGGCGGGCCACATGCGGCCCGCGGGCCGCAGGTTGGCCACCCCTGGTCTAGGGTATAGCCGTCTTCTGCGTTTTTACTAGTGTCGTATGGAAGAAATGACCATAAGTCCAGAGGTGCCTAGTGCCTCCATCATCAGGGCGATAAAATCCCTGATGATGGAGGCGGTAAGCACCTGTGAAATGTCGGTCAGTACCACCATGGTACACGATTCAACATCCCAGATGTCAACCATGTTTAAGTGACAATCGAAGTCCCTACTTAAGTGGCTAGCGATCAGATGTTTAACTCTGCACCAGACCGAAGCCGTGCTCGGTGCAGGCCGACGTGGGATTCTCCGCATTCTTGAACGCAATTGACCGCATATTAACGGGACCAAGCCGTTGCGTTTGCTCGCTTGTTGTCCACACAACTGCAAAGGCGCATTCAGGGTACTGTTCTGTAAACATGATGTCACAGGACCAAATTAAACGCACGTACCTCGAAGTTGACATTTTATGACGTCATTACTGACACTTTTATATGAAAATAAAAATGCGTTGAGAAGAGAAAAAGTTATGAGTGTAAGTTATAGTTGCTGAATCAGGTAAAACCATAAGAAAAAAAATGATTACGTGGTGTACAACAAGTATCGATTTATTAATGTCACTGACGTCTTCCTTTCTGTCTACCCACTGTCCTTTCTCCGCTCTTTCCTTTGCTATTGCCTTTCTAGATTCCAGTGGCAGGCTTTTTTGAGTACTATGACGAACTTTTAGTTGTCGTAAGAGCAGAGTTTTTTTTTTTTAGTAACTGAGAGGCTTTAAACGTTACCGGTAAAATTGCAAATGGCTAATTAGTTCACAAGAATGTAATTTTCCCGCTGATGTACGAAATAAGACATACGTTTGTGTGCCCTGAAGGTTTCCGAAGACCTGTGGACGTCCAGAACGCTCTCTACGTTCCAGACTTTCCCACGGGACATGATTCATCCCTCTTTATCTTTCATGAATGATGGATCTGCATACGCCACTGAAGATCCGCGCCATCTAGCAGATGACACAGGAACTACGGCTATATCTGGAGGCTGGGTCCAGGTACGGTTTACGTCGAATTCATAAGCATCTTTCGATTTGAATATTTAAAATGGCATTCACTTCGTGGAACTGCTGTGTCCCGTGCAGAGAACTCTGTACAGATGATTTTTAATTTTAATATTGTACTCAGCAAGATACAGGCCGAATGATCTTCTGCTTTGTTTTACAAAGTATCATAATTTTTCTTACTGTCTCCAAGTTCTAACGTAGCGAAGTTGTCGCTGTGCGTAGTTAAGCGTCGTGCAACATTAATAATCACATAGCTGACGCACGAACTTGGATTTTGGAAACATGTGATCATTTTCATGCAGTTCCCAGTTTGATTGCGGTAACTAATTAAATACTGTGTATATACAGGGTGTCCCAAAGATATGTATTCGCAGTAGCAACTTTGCACATGGGTGCCACGAAGCTAACCGTGGTCTTCTTTGAGTACCTAAACCAGATTATCTAATTTATTAGGTAATGGTTCAGTTTATTAAAATGCCATTCCTTCACTTATTGAACGTGTGTATCTAGTTTTTGGGACATTCTGTATCCATTTTCAGAGTTTGTGAACAAAACTGAAATGAGGCTGCTTCTTATGGTGACGGTTTTAAGCGAGGTCGTGTACGGTCCTGTTTTTGCAGTGTCAGGAGTTGAACCTAGGCCTCTGCATGATGAGCAACGACAGGAGGTTTGGCTTCTCCGTGGTAGGTGGAGTTGGTGAAGGCGTGCCTCCGCGTGTGGACGACATTCAGCCAGGTAGGGCGCCAACTGGTTTTATAACAACGGCGTTGCTATTTAGGGCTTACTATAAAAATGCTTTTTATAATTCAGTTGCTGTAGAAACGTTGTTACAGGCCTACTTTTACCGATTTGTATACTTTTAGTGTTGATATAGGAACGTTATTAGGGGGGTGTACAGTTTCATAATTCGTGGGCTACTCTTGGCTGTGATAAAGACGTTCGGTTGGTTTCAGCGTTTCGGGGACGGCAGAAGAATGTTTTTGAAAATAAAACACTTGGAAGTGGGAATTTATATCGTGTTGAAACCACAGCCTTGTATTAAGTATTTAAAAAACGAAGTTCATCTACAAATATTTAAGAATCCAGTCCGTACCGCGAAGAAAACACAAGGCTTCACCATTACAAAATCAACTGATCGCGTCTAAAAATATTTAAGAATTCAGTCCGTACCGCGAAGAAAACACTACACTTCACCATTACAAAGATCAACCGGTTAACCTTGTTTAAGGAAATAATACGACTAAAACGCTAATTAACCTTTGGAGCCGAAGCTCTTTCAAATGAAACTTAAGAATTCAGTCCGTACCGCGAAGAAAACACTACACTTCACCATTACAAAGATCAACCGGTTAACCTTGTTTAAGGAAATAATACGACTAAAACGCTAATTAACCTTTGGAGCCGAAGCTCTTTCAAATGAAACTTAAGAATTCAGTCCGTACCGCGAAGAAAACACAAGGCTTCACCATTACAAAATCAACTGATCGCGTCTAAAAATATTTAAGAATTCAGTCCGTACCGCGAAGAAAACACTACACTTCACCATTGCAAAGATCAACTGGTTAACGCTGTTTAAGGAAATAATCGCAGGTTACAGCGAGAATCATACGAAACACGTAAATGCATTCTGTGCAAAAGTTCAGAGTCACAGGAGCTCGTACAGGTTCGGAGGAGAATTCATATATAAACTGAAATGCCATTTCTCTTTCAGAATATGACAAAAGACAGAATAAAATTGAACCTTGGTATTTCCTGTAACGCGTACTTGCTACGTTTTGTGACAAACTCTTAGCGGTTGCGTTGTGATTCCTGTATAAATTCTGCAGCTGTTACGGCGTGGTATGAGATAAGTCAAAATTTGGCTCACGTTCGTCTATAACTCCAGAAAGTGTTGTATCCAGATTCGCCCGTTTTTGTGGCTAAACGTTCTCGGTTGGGCCCACACCGGCCAGCTGACACTACCACAAGCCGTTCCATCATCTGCGTATGACAGGGAATGGAATTATCGGGAGTCTAGAAGATAATTTATTTTCCTCAGCAGGCCGAGGGAAAAAGAAATATTGCGTTGTAGGAGTAAAAGACTTTTCCGCTGGCCTGTCTATGCTTTAACTGTATTAACTATTATAGCTGATACAGCGTGTTCCCTACCATAGAAATACAAAGTCACAACCCATTAATTTGTTGGCTCGTATTACGTCTCATTATAATAGAGGGAAGATTTTATAGGATGTTGCGCTGTGTCGTCTGGTAGAAATTTACGGACGTTTCAGAGGTGCTTACTGTCTTCTTCATCAGGGTTATTTTTGGGGTTAATGCAGTTGAAATAGCCTCATTAAATAAGCAAGGTGTGAGGTGTGGCCTCAGAAATGTAACTTAAATCTGCTAAACACCGGACAAAGTCCAGTGGCCTGTTACCTTGCCCCTGAGGACGAAATCGCGACCGGTCTTCGCCTTCACGTTGATAACCACCCTCACGTCGTCACAACCCAGACGGTCACAATCCACATTTACTTCGTTCGAAATTAAATATTTATGGAACGGCATGCGATGAATACATCCTAGAAATCAGAATTTTGCGCTCTGAAGTCGTAAGAACGTTCTGCAGAATTATGTCGCTCAGGATGACTGACGTGATTTGGTTTATTTCGGTCCTCATCGCCGCAATCTCAGGACGTCGTGATGAATTTAATTATTCCTTACCTCGTCAGTGGAGATGTGTACGTGGTACGTGTAATGACTCATCCATCACCTCGGAAGGGAAGGAAACTTCAGTGAACCAAAACTACTGTCAGGGTCAGACAAGACGGCGGACGGAAAAAAAAACAGTTGCCGTGTTGCCAGGTCTTTAGGTCCACCTTGACCGATGCCACACCGTCAGACGAATGCTCTGGCGACTTGGCAACGCCGCGCCCTTATCCTCCTGTCTCCGGATTGCGGCCTATTTCAACAGAATCAAATTTAAATCCACTTAAAATTTAAAAAGAAAAACATGCATCCGGAAATTCAGAGCTTCTGCAGGGGCAACAATGTCAACCCGCACGGCTGATTCTTAATACACGCCGCCGTGTGGCGACTGAGTAAAATCACGGTACCATATTACAGGACGCGCCATATATAAATGTTCTGTGCTTTTGAGTGGTAACTTAAGACCGGGTGAGTTTTGATTTTCGGACGCCAGGCCTCGGGACGCTATACTATTCGATGCTGGTAGACCGACGCCGAACGGTGCGACATCTGATGTGGACCCTGGCAATACGACGATTCTGGTGACTATTTTTTAGTTGTGTCAGTGAAAGAAGAGAAATTGCGAAAAGTAATTGATATTTTCCGGGGATATTGGAGGATTCCCTGCCGAGGGCGTCCATAAATGATAAGTTGCCGATACTGGAACCTCAGAAGGAATTAAAACATTTTAACCGATTCAAACTGGCGTAATTGTTGAACAAGGGCGGATTATTAAACAATTGTTGGAACTTATATAGTACTATAAATTTGTGTACTGAAGATGGCAGCGATATGTTCGGTCGAAATGTTGATAGCAATTTAGGTACAAGACTTCAGGGCGTAACAGACCATACGACTAACATCGTCACTCTCAGACTACTACATCGCGTTTGGTTGGAGAAATCATATGGAATCCGTAATTGTACTCGATGGGCAGAATATGGAAATACTGAATGTTGAAGAAGTTTTTCGTGATGCGCTGCATGTTCATTTTTTTGGGCGTATGAGATAAGTGGTTGAAATTTTTTTAACCTATCCATTGCATGAAAACATGACAAATGCAGCATTTGGAAGACTTTGCCGCGTACCTCGATTTAAGTCTGTTTCGATTCTGACGAGGCGGGAACATAGAAACATTGGGACGCAGCCAACCTGTCGGCTGCGTGCAGCGAGGAAAAATAATAATAAAGGAATTCCGATCATCGAGGTCCCCCGGCCGTACACATTCCTCGCAGTCTTGGAGCGGCGTGCTCGCGCGTTGCAAGGGTCCAGTTCGTGTGTCGTGGTGACAGTGTACTGACAGTGGAGCTTGATTGGTGCTTCGTGTAGAATTCCCACCCTCGCCTCAACGCCCAACCCTCAGTTACGACGAATATAACAGTGCAGGCGACTTCTGCTCTGTTCCCAATATATATTTTTTTTTGGTTATTTTACGTGCCTGTATCAACTGCTGAGCTTCTGTGGATTGAAAGGGGGTATGGCAGCATGATTGTGATTGATTATGAATCAGGGAACGTGTGGAGAGAAGGGATGTGCTGATATTTGTCTGACCGGTCCGCTCCCGGGTTTCGAATCAGGGAATTAGTACTGACCGCGGTCGAATATCCTTCCTCTTCGTATGGTTCTCGTTGCCACCTCAAGGTCTGTTCCGTTGATCGCGTCCCGACCGTCTGAA